GCAAAAATGAATGTCCAGCACGAGTGCACACAAATCCTTTGACAAACCAGGTAGATATACCCTATGGCCAAATAAGGAAGGTTTTAGATTGACAACCAAGAAATTGCCTCTGTCGCTTTTAAGCTAGCGTAAACATATCATAGATATCTGACTGCTCAAATCTTATCTCTAACTACTTATAAGGTCGAAGTTTTGAAGTTCTGGCTTTTAGATTATCAAACGTCTTCATCATCACTCACATGAGCCACCAAATCCGGATGAGCTTCCACCTTGGTTGTTGTTCAAAAACGAAGAAGGTACAACACCTCCACCGGGAGACTATGCGTGAGTCTCCTTGTCCAGTTAGTCGCCGACCTGAAAAGATGTTGCTTATCATCTAGGAAATTTGTTTAGAGTTGGAAATTCTGATCTTTTAAGAAACCGAAAAAAGAAACTAATAAAAATGTCATCACTAAGAAGGATTATAAAAAACACATGTAGTGTAGCTAATGTTTAAAATAAAGAACTTGTTCACAATTAAGGCAAGACGATGGTTTCTTCAAACCATGCGGCTGCAATGCGTACTTGGAATTATTTTACTTTTTTTTAAGAACTTCAAAAACAGAACATCTTGAAACTTTGTCACATCTCTATTTAGTACAAAAACATGTACATGCGTAGTCAAAAAGGGAGAATTTTTAAAGCGTAATTCATTACAGTGCCACTACGAAAAGCAAACGATGTAAGAGAGAACTTTAGACGTACCTGTGATTGCATAGAACAAAAGGATTTCCCTCTCCCCCCTCCCCCTTCCTAGATTCAGACTCAGATAATGAAAACAATTCAAAGATTTCAAATCTATTAAGGCCCTAAGCAACTTGAATGTCATCGCACTATCTTTTTTACCCTGAAAGTCGAGTTGTAGCTTTAAAACCAGAATTATAAATATTTTTTCAGACAGACATCATCCCCACCCGGTACATGCGTCTTATTGCCGTGTCCAGTGCTACCTGGAGGATCCACA